ATTTTGTTGAGAGTTTTTGTCATGAGTGGATGTTGAATTTTGTTGAGTGCTTTTTCAGCATCTATGGAGATGATCATGTGGTTTTTGTCCTTGTTTTTGTTGATGTGGTGGATGATGTTGATGGATTTCCGAATGTTGTACCATCCTTTCATCCCTGGGATGAATCCCACTTGATCATGGTGTATGATCCTCTTGATGTATTTTTGAATTCAGTCTGCTAATATTTTGTTCAATATTTGTGCATCTATGTTTATCAGGGATATTGGTCTGCAGTTTTTTTTTTTTTTGTGGTGTCTTTTGCCTGGTTTTGGTATTAGAGTGGTACTGGCTTCATAGAATGAGTTTGGAAGTATTGTCTCCTCTTCTACTGTTTGGAAAATCTTAAGGAGAATGGATATTATGTCATCTCTAAATGCCTGATAAAATTCAGCGATGAATCCACCCGGTCCGGGGGTTTTGTTCTTAGGTAGTTTTTTGATTACCAATTCAATTTTATTGCTGGCAATTGGTCTGTTTAGATTTTCTCTTTCTTCCTTGGGTGGTTGTTTTTATCTGGAAAGTTTTCCATTTCTTCTATGTTATCCAGTTTGTTAGCATATTGGTTTCATAGTATTCTCTAATAGCTTTTTGTATTTCTGTGGTGTCAGTCTTGATTTTTCCATTCTCATTTCTGATTCTGTTTATGTGTGTAGACTTTATTTTTTTCTTGATAAATCTGACTGGGGGTTTATCTATTTTGCTTATTTACTCAAAGAACCAGCTCTTGGTTTCATTAATTTTTTCTATTGTTTTATTCTTCTCAATTTTGTTTATTTCTTCTCTGATCTTTATTATGTCCCTCCTTCTGCTGTCCCTCTTTCTGCTGACTTTGGGCCTCATTTGTTCTATTTCCAATCTCAATAATTGTGAATTTAGACTATTCATTTGGGATTGTACTTCCTTCTTTAAATATGCCTGGATTTCTATAGACATTCTTCCTAGAACTGTGTTTACTGCATCCCACAAAAGTTTGGGCATTGTGCTGTTGTTTCATTTGTCTCCATATGTTGCTTGATCTCTGTTTTAATTTGATCATTGATCCATTGATTATTTAGGAGCATGTTGTTAAGCCTCCATGTGTTTGTGAGCCTTTTTCTTTGCACAGTTTTTTTTTCTAGTTTTATACCTTTGTGATCTGAGAAGTTGGTTGGTAAAATATCAGTCTTTTTTCATTTACTGAGGCTCTTTTTGTGGCCTAGTATATGGTCTATTCTGGAAAATTTTCCATGTGCACTTGAGAAGAATGCGTATCCTGCTTCTTTTGGGTGTAGAGTTCTGTAGATGTCTGTTCGGTCCATCTGTTCTACTGTGTTGTTCAGTGCCTCTGTGTCCTTACTTATTTTCTGTCTGGATGATCTGTCCTTTGGAGTGAGTGGTGTGTTGAAGTCTTCTAAAATGAATGCATTGCATTCTATTTCCTCCTTTAATTGTGTTAGTATTTGTTTCACATATGTCAGTGCTCCTGTGTTGGGTGCATAGATATTTATAATGATTATATCCTCTTGTTGGCTTGACCCCTTTATCATTATGTAATGTCCTTCTCTGTCTCTTGTGACTTTCTTTGTTTTGAAGTCTATTTTGTCTGATACAAGTACTGAAATACCTGCTTATTTCTCCCTGTTCTTTGCACGAAATATCTTTTTCCATCCCTTCACTTTTGGTCTGTGAATGTCTTTGCTTCTGAAGTGAGTCTTTTGTAGGCAGCATATAGATGGGTCTTGCTTTTTTATCCATTCTATTTCTCTGTGTCTGATTGGTGCATTCAGTCCATTTACATTTAGGGTGTTTATCAATAGATATGTACTTATTGCCATTGCAGGCTTTGGATTTGTGGTTTCCAAAGCTTCAAGAGCAGCTTCTTTCCTATCTAACAATCTAACTTAATGCACTTATTATGCTTTTATAAACACAGTCTGATGATTCTTTATTTCTCTCCCTTCTTTTTCTTCCTCCTCCACTCTTTATAAGTTAGGTGTTTCATTCTGTACCCTTTGTGTTTCCCTTGACTGATTTTGTGGATAGCTTATTTTATTTTGCCTTTAGTTGGTATTTGGTTGGTTTACTTTCTTTGCTGTGGTTTTATTTTCTCTGGTGACATCTATTTAGCCTCCGGCATACTTCCATCTAGAGTAGTCCCTTTAAAATACATTCTAGAGATTGTTTGTGGGAGGTAAATTTCCTCAACTTTTGGTTATGTGGGAATTGTTTAATCTTTCCTTCAAATTTAAGTGATACTCTTGTTGGATACAGTATTCTTGTTAAGAGTCCCTTCTGTTTCATTGCATTGAATGTATCATGCCATTCCTTCTGGGCTATAAGGTTTCTGCTGAGACATCTGATGATACACTGATGTGTTTTTCTTTGTATGTGATGTTTTTTCTCTCTCTGGGTTCTTTTAATACTCTATCCTTATCTTTGATCTTTTAGTAGTCTGTCCATATCCTTGATCTTTGCCATTTTAATTATTATGTCTTGGTGTTGTCTTCCTTGGGTCCCTTGTTTTGGGAGATCTGTGGACTTCCATGGTCTGAGAGACTATTTCCTTCCCCAGATTGGTGAAGTTTTCAGCAATTAGTTCTTCAAAGACCCTTTCTATCCCTTTTTCTCTCTCTTCTTCTTCTGGTACCCCTATAATACGAATATTGTTCTGTTTATATTGGTCACACAGTTCTGTTAATATTGTTTCATTCCTAGGGCTCCTTTTCTCTTCCTATGCCTCAGCTTCTCTGTATTCCTGTTCTCTGATTTATATTCCATTAACAGTCCCTTCCACCTCATCCAGTCTCCCCTTAAATCCTTCCATTGTTTGTTTCATTTCTGTTATCTCCCTCCTGAATTCTTCCCTTAGCTCTTGAGTATTTCTCTGTAACTCCATCAGCATGCTTATTACTTTAATTTTGAATTCTTTTCCAGGAAGATTGGTGATTTCAGTCTCACGAAGCCCTCTTTCTGGTGTTTGAGGGATTTGGGACTGAACAAGGTTCTTCTACCTTTTCATGGCAATGGGAGTGGTTACCAACAAGTAGTGTAGGAGAACAAAGTAGTCCCTTCCTGCTTGCTGGTCACCTTGCCTGTCTCCACTGTCTGTGCCAGTCAACTGCATGCAGGAAGCAGCCTCTGGGCTAATCCCTTAAGCTGTCATAGGCAGGGTGGGCCTCTGGATGGCCTAGGTCACTGGTGGGGGTCACAGGTTAGTAGTGTGTGTTCTGCTCAGGAACAGAGCCCCTTTGTGTTTCCTGGACTCTGTGCCCTTCTCCGCTGTCTGTGCTGGTCATCTGCATGCAGGGCGGAGCCTCTGGGTTAATCCCCTAAGCTGCCTTTGGCAGGGTGGCCCTTGGAATGGCATAGGGCACTGGCAGGGGTTGCAGGTGAGTGGCGTGTGTTCTGCTGGGAGAACGGAGCCCCTTCATGCTTCCCGGGCTCTGTTCTGGTCTCTGCTGTCTATGCCGGTCAACTGCATGCAGGGATATGCCTCTGTGCTAAGCTGTGTGGTTGTTATAGGCGGGGCTGCTCCCTGGCTGTTCCGCAGCAATCGCAAGTCAGCCGGTTTGCTTGCAGTGCTGGTGTGGGTGAAGGAACTGCAGGCTGCTTATTGCCGTGAGGGGCTTCGGAACTGTGTTGCCACCCAGGGGTTAGGGCACCTGAAGTACCTTAAAGTTCCCAGCCTGCTGGACTGAGTGTGGGATGATTTTGTCCACCTGTTAAACTCTTGTCCCTTTAAGACTTTTAAGGTGCCTGCTTTTCTTTTGTCCCCGGGCAGCTGGCTGTGGGAACCTATTCGGAGTCTCGGTCTTGGTCCTTGCTTTTCTGCTCCTCCAATATCCAGTGCACCATGCAATGTGTGTTTGTGCTCTGGGGATAGACCACTAGGGCTGGTTATTTATCAGTCCTGTGCTTCCACTCCCTCCACACTCTGATTCCCTTCCTCCTACCGGTGAGCTGGGGTGGGGGGAGTGCTCGGTCACCGCTTTGTATCTTACCCTTTTCCATGAGATGCTGGGCTCTCGCAGATGTAGTCTGGCTCATACACTGTATCTTCTGCTCACTCTTTTAGCAATAGTTGTATTTTCTGTATTTTCAAACTATATGGTTTTGGGAGGAGATTTCCACCACCCTACTCATGCCGCCATCTTGAGAATCTCTTCCTCTTGAAAATTTTTATCAGGAAAAGATGTTGGAGTTTATCAGAAGCTTTTTCTGCATTTGTTGCGATAATTATTTGCTTTTTAAATTTAGTGTAGTGGATTGCACTGATTGATTTTTAATGCTAAACTAATCTTGCATTCCTGGGATAAACTCTACTTGCCATGATTTATTATTTTTTTTATATATTGTTGGATTTGATTTGCCAAGATTTTATTTAGCATTCTTATATGTATTCTTTGTTGAAGAGGGACTTGGTCTGTAGTTACCTTTTAGTGTCTTTGTCTGGTTTTTGTATTTATGTTTATTTTTTGTTGTTGTTTGCTATTAGTCTTTCAGGATCTTACCATCTTTCATCAGTTCGGGAAATCTCAACTGTATCTCTTCAGTCTTTCCCCCCATTTTCTCTTTCCTTTAGGTGTTTTTAGACTTTTCTACTCTATCTTCCATGTCTTTTTAACCTTTTCCTTCTTTTTGCTTTGAATGTTGCATTCTGAATAATTACTTGTCTTCCAGTTGGTCACCTATTCGAGCTCTAGTTAGCTACTGTTTAACTTACCTGCTGATGCTTTTTCTCTCCATAACTTTAGTTCTAGAAGTTGTACTTGCATCTTTTTCAAATCTACTTGTTGTTTTTTATAGTCTCTTGTTATTTTTTTCATATCTTTTATCCTTTTATTAAAACATCTTAAACACATCCTATGTCTGGTAATTAAAGTTTTTTGTGGGTCTCATTTCACTGTATGTTTTTTTCACTGCTTTTCTGAATTTCTTTACATGTTTTGTGTATTTGTATTGTTTTCTGTTTGTTTTACCAGGAACTCATATTTCTTGGAACTCTTTCTGTGTAAGTTCTTTGAAGCCTGGATAAAGTGTGTTCCTCCAGAAAAGATTGATATTCGGTTCTGCCACCTATGGATCACTTCACTAAATTCTCAGCTTGAAGTTTTCTCAGACCTTCCAGGTACTCTGATTATGGACCACAAACCTGTGTGAGAGCTGGTTTGCAGTAACAAATTCTCAAGAGACGTTCCCTTTCATTCCTTTTACTCATTGCCAAAATTTGAGCCAATCCACTGGTGAGGTTTATTTCGAGGGCTTATTCTTATGCTGAGTGTGTAGGGAGTCACAGTTATATGTGAGTGGTGATGTAGAGCCGACTCCTGTCAAGCACCCTAACTGTGTGGACTCTGGCTTTGTCCTCTGTCCTGTGCTCTCAGGGAATATGCAAATCTATACTTGTGTAACCTGGTTCAGTGAAAGCCTTCAGACCAAAGCCAGTTTCAGTTCTTTGGGTTTCTATTTTCCTGTGGTTTTTGGTTTCTGATTATTTTTTACTTTCTTGCAAGCTTATTGATGCATTTAAAAATGTATGATTTTGTTTCTGTTGTTGCTAAAGTCTGCCTTTTACATTGTTTCATCTAGTGGTCTGCTCAGGGTATCCAGGTCACCATACTGCTAGAAATGGAAGTTGGGCCTCAAGCTTTTTATGATACGGTTGTTAGTAACTGTTTCTTCTGTGGGATTAATTGCATTTATGTCGGTTTTGTTTCCATTTCCTTTGGTAAGCAGTAGAGAATTAGGGGAGGAAGGTGTTTAGTTTTCCTGTATTGGTGATCTGTACATAGTGGTATTGCAACCACCTAATGAACCCTTGGGCTTTATATCTGTCCCTTGTACTAAATCATCACTGCCAACAGAGTTGAGAGATTTAATGTGACTACACTCCACCACATCTAGAGTGGCCCCTTATTATATATTATTCTCTATCTCTCCTTTAGGTTATTTATTACAATTAAAGCAATATGATTATATGACTCTTGGATTTAAAATCTCTCTCTCCTCCTAAGCATATAAGTTCTGTGAGATCAGGGACCAGGAGAATCTTAAGCATATTTTCTAGCACAGTGCCTGACCTGTAAAGAGCACTCAGTTAAGCATGATGTGTGAACGAATGACCAGGATTGCCTAAGTACACTGAGGAAACAGAAATTTGCAGTAACTTAGTTTAGCTCCACAACCATCCCTGGAGCCCTACTCCCGCCATTCTTCATCCCAGCCGTATTTGACGGAGGTGGCGATGAGCCAAACATGAGTCTACCCTCAAGGAACCCACAGTCCAGTGGAAGAAAGGCAGTGTTTATGTTATTAGACTTTCCAAATTCAAATGACAGATTGCTCCTCTTGTGACTAGACTGTTGGGGTAAAACCTCACTATTTGTGAACCTCTCCAGGGCTCAAATACAGTAATCCTGTGTACACAAAGCTTTGTGTCCCAGAAACAGCCCCGGATGAGGCACTTTGGGCTGAGAGAGCCAAATGCCTGTCTCAGCCCTGTTTTAATTCACTAGTGAGGGCTTCTCTGTGCCCAAGATTGTCCCAAATAGCTTGGGGAATTATGAGTTTAAAATAAGACATTGATTCCTGTCCTCAAGGAATTTGTTTGGGAATGTGAGGATCAGGATAACAACCAGTGGACCTAAGTGGACTAAATAGAAAATTCCTAGACTCTGTAGCAGAGGACACAGATAAGGGGACCCTGCTCCTTGGCGCACTTTCAAGGCCCCAAATCCATACCTTAGATTTATTTGTGTAGCTTGCTGAGGTGCAGGCTTATAGTCTTAGAAGTTGTTTTCTATACGTGAAGAGGCTAGAAACATAATGGGTAGCAAACCCACAATTATGTGCTTCTCAGACCTGCAAAGGTCTCTTGGCTGGGGCTCCCGGATGCCTCTGAGCAAATAAGGCAGGGGAGCTGTGCACGCCCACTGCATCCTTTCCTCCTGTGTGCCTCCTTTGCACTGCTTTCTAGCTGTTTCTGGAGTAAACCAAAGTTTAGTGACTTTGAACTTAATCTAAGTTGCTACTCTTACTCTGTATTTTATGAAATCTGCCCTTCTATGTCCTATCTTTTATGAAATGGTAACAGTATGTCCTCTTGGTTGTTTTGATTGTACTTACTGAACATAATACGAAACTGACCACACTATGTCTCCTTCCTAGAGATTTTGGGGGCACGGGGGGCACGTTTTCAAGCCCATCAAATTCAGAAGTCAGGGAACCACCAGTTTATATGACTTTGAAATTGAACAGCCTTAGCGTTTCCAGTGTGTGGATGATGGGGAGGAGGAGAGATGACTTTCCCTTTCTTTGTATTAGCTGTAAGACTTGTGTTTTGATCAATTTAATCTTTGGGTTTTTTTGTTTGTTTGTTTTTATTTTTTCCATGGGCATATTAGAATGAGAGTGAAGCCCCTCCTTGGGAGGAATGAGGCCACTGTGGGGCAGCATCTTGGTGTCAAGGTCGTGCACATGTTTTCTAGGTCATGGGATTGGCAGGAGCCCTGTTGCTGGCATACCTCTGCCTCTTAGCTCTCTGGGATACAGATAAGTCCTTTGACACTTGCATGCTTACCTTTGCTGAATCCTAGAAACCCAGGATTTTGTGCCCATCAGTTTTTCTGCATAGAATTCTGGGTACTTCAGGTTGTGGATTAGCTTCACTCCAGAGAGCCTGTTCATTCGCATTCCCTTGCGGTAAGTCAGCCGAAAAAAGGGCTGTAGGCATGGGCAGCTCTCTGCCCTCTTGGGAGGGGAGCTAGGGGGCTCAGCAAACAGCACAGTGATCTGTGAGAATCTTCAAGGCAGTGGGAAGAAACAGAAGGAAAAGTATTTTCAGTAGAGTTTTATACAATTTGACAGTATTAGAAAGCCAAGTCATGGTGAGTTCAAGGCCCAGCCCCATCTCTCATTGCAGTGGGGCTTCAGGCAAGCTGCTTAATTTCTCTGGGCCGTTCATTTTCATCCTTAATAAAAACAGAAGGCTGTTATCTGCCCTTCTACATTTATTTGATTATTGTAATGCTATATGGCTATTGTATGTAATTTGGTTATTATAAATGAGATACTATGTGGGCTTTGACAATCGTCAGGTGCAAATAAGATGTATTTATTTATTCAGCACACTTAGTAATAAATACCAGCTATGTGCAAGGTGCAGTTCTATGGAGTTGGGGTGCATTGGTGGGAAAAGCATACCCTGCCTTCAAGGAGCTTACATTCTAGTGAGAGAAACAGACAAGCAAACAAGCAAACTTATTAATAGGGCTGTAATGATGGTACTGCAAGGAAACAGACAGGCACATATAAGAGAGTCAGGGGAGGGGTTAGGGGAAGTTTCTGTGACAATATGATGGTCAAGCTGACCTGAAGGCCAGGAAGAAGCCAGGAGAAAAGTGTCCGGACAGAAGGAACAGCAAGTGCCGAGGCCTTGAGGCTGCAGAGAAAAGGCTTGCTTCAAGGCTAGAAAGGAGGGCTGAGTGGCTGGAATGCTGGGACCTGTAGTGTCTATATGGTTCGTTTCATAAAGTATGGAGTAGCTTCAGTTTCTTTTCATACTTTTCGTCCTATTTTTCAAGCTCATTTGTTTTGGGGGAGAAAAATTAATTTACAAGTATGTTCTGTATATTAGAGTAATTCTGTAAAATATCTTGAGAATCTAAAAGGGAGAGTAGTGTATAGCAGTTAGAGTGAGGGCTGTGGACTTGTCTCCCGGGTTCTCATCAGCTCTGTCACTTACAAGCACTCTGACCTTGGACTTTGAGTCCCAGTTTCCTTATCTGTGAAAGGAAGAGAATAAACCCTGAGCTCCATCCCTTAGAAGTGTGTTATGAAAATAAGATTTTTTAAAGGAAAATTGATGTGAGAATGCTTGGACTATTTAAAGAGCATTGTTAATGGGAAGAAGGCTATCTCGACTCTGGGTTGGCTCTTTGCATCCTGGGCTTGTGTGGCCCTCGATAATTGGATGCTCTCAGACAGGATTTGCCGTGGCTGGGCTGCATCAGTGTTAGCTTGCAGGCGGAAAGCCTGTGCCAGAGCTGTGTCCTTCAGGTGCAGCAGCAATGGTATTACAAGGAAATAAATGAATAATAAATGAAGGTCTGAAGTCAGGCTGCTCCCGTAGGATTTCTGTGCATTGGAAGCTCAGCAGAAAGGAGATGGCCTCATTGTACTGACCCTGCAAGGAGAGGTGGGCTCTATGCTGGTGGCGCTGGCAGAGCACAGGCTCTGGTCTCTGAAAACTCTGTGGCCCCGAGGGGTGGAGGCGTTATCCTGGGTTGCCCAGCAGATTAGCAGCGGCGCTGGGATGAGATTGTAACTCTTCAGATGCTACCCCAGTGCTCACTGCACCCCAGCCCTCTGTCTTTGGCATTCTTAAACACTCAGTCATTCAGCACCACTTGGTGCTGAGCATCTACCATGCTTCCTATGCTGCATTAACCACGGGGACTCAGTGCAGGCAAGGCCCTCCCCCCGGCACATGTAGCCTAGCTGGGAGACAGGCTGTTAAGTACTGTAATGGCAACACGGTGACAGAAGTGCTCTTGTGGGCAAGTAGAGGGTGCACTAGGATCACACAACAGCTACCAAACCCAGATTTGTTTTCATTTTGGGGGTTCCAGGGAAAGCTTCTTAAGAGAAGTGCCATTTAAATGAGCATCAAAGGATGAATTAGCCATGGTGGAGTGTGGGATGAGGAGAGGATTCCTGAGCATCCTGCTGAGGTATGGCTTGTCTGATAGAAGCTTGGCCTTGGAGGGCCAAACAGTGAGGTTTGGGATGAGAGATGGTGGGGGTTTGGAAGGAAGACATTCTCTGTGGTAAGAAGGTTAGATTTATCCCAGTTGCAGTGGGAAGCTGTTGAAGGGTTTACATGGTCAGGTCTGCATTCTATGAGGGGCGCTGCAGCTGCTCTGGAGAGGCTGGCCAGGAACAAACGAGGGTGCCTGTGTGCCATGAAGCCAGGCAGAGGATGATGGAGATAAGTGGATGCATGCAAGAGAC